AGGTGATGGGGGTGTGTGCCATCCTGTGTGCTACTTCTCGACCAAGTTCAAGCGACATCAGCTGAATTATTCCACTATTGAGAAGGAAACTCTGGCCATGCTCCTTGCCCTGCAGCATTTTGAAGTGTATGTTGGGTCCAGTTCAACGCCAGTGGTGGTGTACACAGACCACAACCCACTCATATTTTTGTCCCAGATGTTCAACCACAACCAGCGGTTGATGCGCTGGGCCCTGCTGGCACAAGACTACAACATCGTCATCAAATACAAGAAGGGAGCGGATAATGTGGTGGCCGATGTTCTGTCCCGTGGGTGAGATTTCACGATTCATGTCCAATAGTCTGAGTGTTTTTGGTAACTGTGGCCAAACACTCGTTGGGTTTTATGGGGGGGGGTGTTACGTGCCGTAGTGTTTGTGTGTGTGTGTGTGTGTGGTGTGTGTGTGTGTGTGTGTGTGGTGTGTGTGTGTGTGTGTGTGTGTGTGTGTGTGTGTGTGTGTGTGTGTGTGTGTGTGTGTGTGTGTGTGTCTTTCTCTCTCTCCCTCTGATTCTCCAGGTGCTGCCTGATTGTCCCCAGGTGCAGCCTCTCCCCAGGTGCTCCTAATTCCCAATCAGGGCCTCCATATAGGACCGGAGGAAGACTGCAGTGGGCCCCGATTTTCCTCCTCTGGCTGCATGCGTACAACCTGTGTTCTGTAGGTCAATAAGAGATGTGCTCCTGGATATGGGACACTAGTTTAAATGTGCAAGTTAGCTGGTGAGCAGCCCGTGTTCCTTTTCTTTGACTATTAAAAGGCCTGTTCGTGACTCCAGAGAACGGTTTCCTCTCTTTTTTCTCGTGCCTGGTCAACGTTGTGTTTTGTTACTTCCCTTGGTACCCCTAGATTTGGAGGGAACGTAACATCAACAAACAAATAAAAGTGACATAAACAAATAATAATACAAATAATAAACTTGGGGTGAGTAGAATTATGGCACCTACAAGCCTACCACTGAAACACTCCGATGCCCTTTAAATGCAAGCGGACCTGAAGACCTATCTAATCCATACAAATCCTTCCTGGACAATGTGAAAGCTTTCATTGAGCTGAATCAACTGCCAGTATCACTTACTTTTGAAGCAAACGTTGATGTAGACCAGTTCATTAGGCATCGAGCAAAGTGGCATGAATCTTGTCAAACAAAATTAAATCTGAACAAACTGGAAAGAGCACGGAAGAGGGAGAGAGCTGGATCTTCTGATACCCCTGCAGATGAGAAAAGACCCCGACAACGCGAGCCCCTGGATAAGAGCACATGCATATTTTTGCAAACACTCTCATGGACATCTTCATGAGTTCATGACTCTTAAGGCAGATAACAATGTCAGGGTTATGGCCAAAGACCTGTAAGAAAATGAATTATTGACCAGGTTTGGGGGTGGTCACCTCATTGCACGAGAGGCAAAATATCCCCTGGCTTGCTTGGCTGGACTTCGAAATCGACATTGTTCACCAATGAGGCAATGCTGCTCTCACAGTCAGAAACATGAGAAGAAAATCCAAGTCAGAGCCAAGTCAGAGCCTTTGTAAAGCTTTTAGTCTACTATCCCATCATTCAAGGGTGGTTTTCACTATAAGTAATCTTTTTCTTTTATACACTATAACAGGGGTCGGCAACCCCTGGCACGCGTGCCAGCATTGGCACGCGGCACCGTAACCAGTGGCACACTAGGAATAAGTGTGCAAAATATTTAAATTGTATTTTCGGATCATGAACGAGACCGCCGCCAGAGCGCGTCTGCCCGTTACCTGCAAAAGGAAGCCATGCACGCAATGTAGCCCCGCTCTCTTTAACTCCAGGTGACTTTCTGCCGCTTTCCTCCGTGGTGCAGGGCTGATCGTTTCACCACAGAGGAAAGCACTTCACAAATTGCAGTAACCATAAGGAGCTTTAAAAATGCCGCAGTTTTTGCATGGCTGTGTGTGTCTTTAGTTGAAAGCCCAGTGGCGATCTGCTCATCTCTCATTGAAATAATATGCTACAAAGGGGCGGACTGGCCATCTGTGTGTTGAACTTTCCTGTCGGCTCCCAGACCGTAGTCGAGGAGGGCAGAAGCAACAAGCTTCAGGTTCAATAACCCACTTTAGCTTAAATGACTGGAGAGAGGCGAGCTCTTCTTGAGAGGCCGTTGCATTTATTTAGCTGTTCTTCTGTTTCACAAAATACATCACAGACCTCTGTTTTTCTGCTGCCTCGTTTCACTTCCAGAAACATACACGCTCGCTCACTCTCGCTCTACCATCCACACACACACGCACACGCCACACCCCTCTCTCTCTCTCTTAAAGGGACAGCGATCTCATCTCACTCTGCTTGACCCTAATATCATAACATGTGTGTTCTGGATAATCACAGAACGGACGATCGTCCTTATTATTATGCCGTTTAAACCAATTATTTAAATGTGTTTGTTAAATTCGGTGTCATCTAAGTTGCGCTGACAGGTCCACACACTGCTTCCCCGCAGCGAGGCCCCCCCGCCCTCCTGTTGATAGTGCCTTGTTTATTACTTGTTCCTGCAGCTGCAACTAAATATATAAGTAAATCTAATCTCATCTAAATAAACCTTCAATAATAAAGAGCAGAAAGAATGAAACTTAAAAAGGCTAATATAGATTAAGACGGGTATAAAAAATAATAATACGAGTTACAATTCAGCGTTCGATTTGAAAAAGTATTTTATTTCTGCTTCCACCCTGATTCAAAGGAGGTGAAAGGACTTAAATTTCCATTCAACAGAACACCAACAGTGAAACACATGAGCCCGTACTAGAGTTTCAAAAAACAGGAATAATCCTAAAATTCCATTTTAACTCTAAATGAGCTGATTGTAATCTGTAAACACAAACAATATGCAGGAATGTGAGTCTGTTTCGAAGGCATTTGTCTTTTATATAGAAATGTATTTATTAGGATAAACCCCTTGAGATGCACCATCTCGTTTTCAAGGGGGTCCCGACAGAAGCAACAACTTTCAGACATACTTGAACAAAATAACAGAAAGCAAAACATGACAAACCACGTACAGTCTATTAAGTAAAATTCATGAAGTAATACATACAATCATTACAATTTGATAGACAGTAGTGTCTAATATATATAGATAACAAGAGCAGACCAGGTGAGATGATAATGCAAGCTTAAACAAACCCAAAGATGCAAGGGATCTAACAGTAGCAGGTTAGTTTGGTTTGATAATATAAGCAAAACAGAACAGAATAAAACATCGTACATTTTCTCTATATCAATAAGTCATTGGTTCTTCTTTTAGACCAGAACAGACTGATAACTCAACTGGAACTATCAACAACATCCCAATGGAAGTTTCAAGTCACAACATTTCATTAACCAAACAGATTATTAGAGAAACTACTCTGCAGATGAATCAGTCAGTGGTTATAGTATAAATCAGAAAAGTAGTACGACAAAAACATTAAACATATTCAAAACTTCTGTTGATAAAGATGGAGTTTAAATGAAGTCATGTATGAATATTGTCACACAGACTTTATACAGTCAGACAGATTTTTCTCATGTGAATTGTCGTAGGACTAATTAATTGTCCTCTTTTTTTGTTGCACATGCAGATTTGACTTGGAAAATGTCAGGTTCAGAAGAGTCTCCAGGGTTGTCCTCAGTCTCTGGTTGTAAATGTCTCTCTAGATCTGAGTTCCTGGCTGGTTCTGGTCCTCCACAGTCCTCTCCATCAGCTTCTGTTTCCATGTGTTCAGCTGAGCTGCTGGCTGGAGGCTCTGCCTCTCTGCTCTCCTCAGTTTGAGTTTGATGAAGCTGTGAGGACTGACGACCAACACACTTATGTCTTTTGACATAATGACTCCAGGTAAATCTTTTGTCACAAACACTGCAGCTGTATGGTTTCTCTCCTGTGTGGATTCTAATGTGGTCCTTTAAATATCCTCTAACGGCAAAATATTTCTTACAAATTGTGCAGATGAATGGTTTCTCTCCTGTGTGGATTCTCATGTGTACATTTAGATTTGACTTGCTGCGAAATTCTTTCCCACACAAAGAGCAGCCAAATGTTTTATTTTCTGCACACTTATGGCGTTTGACCTGATGACTTTGGGTGAATCTTCTGTCACAAACACTGCAGCTGAATAGTTTCTCTCCTGTGTGGACTCTCATGTGCCGATTTAAATATCCTCTGTGTGTAAATGTTTTCTCACAAAAAGAGCAGCCAAATGGTTTCTCTCCTGCACTACGTGTTGAATCACTGACAGGGTTTTGTTTATTTTTCTGAGAGTTTGAAGCTGGTTCTCTGGTCTCCTTCCAATCAGCACTGTCTTCAGTGTCAGGTTCAGAAGAGTCTCCAGGGTTGTCCTCAGTCTCTGGTTGTAAATGTCTCTCTGGATCTGAGTTCCTGGCTGGTTCTGGTCCTCCACAGTCCTCTCCATCAGCTTCTGTTTCCAGGTGTTCAGCTGAGCTGCTGGCTGGAGGCTCTGCCTCTCTGTTCTCCTCAGTTTGATGAAGCTGTGAGGACTGACGACCAACACACTTATGTCTTTTGACATAATGACTCCAGGTAAATCTTTTGTCACAAACACTGCAGCTGTATGGTTTCTCTCCTGTGTGGATTCTCGTGTGCCGATTTAAATCTCTTCTCTCTGCAAAAGATTTCTTACAGACTGAGCAGATGAATGGTCTCTCTCCTGCACTACGTGTTGAATCACTGACAGGGTTTTGTTTATTTTTCTGAGAGTTTGAACCTGGTTCTCTGGTTTCCATCCAATCAGCCCTGTCTTCAGTGTCAGGTTCAGAAGAGTCTCCAGGTTTGTCCTCAGTCTCAGGTTGTAAATGTCTCTCTGGATCTGAGTTCCTGGCTGGTTCTGGTCCTCCACAGTCCTCTCCATCAGCTTCTGTTTCCAGGTGTTCAGCTGAGCTGCTGGCTGGAGGCTCTGCTTCTCTGTTCTCCTCAGTTTGAGTTTGATGAAGCTGTGAGGACTGACGACCAACACACTTATGTAATTTGATATGATGACTCCAGGTGAATCTTTTGACACAAATTGTGCAGATGAATGGTTTCTCTCCTGTGTGGATTCTCATGTGTACTTTTAGATTTGACTTGCGGCGAAAATCTTTCCCACACAAAGAGCAGCCAAATGTTTTCTCTCCTGTGTGGATACGCATGTGCTGATTTAATTTTCCTCTTTCTGCAAAATATTTCTTACAAATTGTGCAGCTGAATAGTTTCTCTCCTGTGTGGACTCTCATGTGCCGATTTAAATGTCCTCTCTGTGTAAATGTTTTCTCACAAAAAGAGCAGCCAAATGGTTTCTCTCCTGCACTACGTCTTGATTCACTGACAGGGTTTTGTTTATTTTCCTGAGAGTTTGAACCTGGTTCTCTGGTTTCCATCCAATCAGCACTGTCTTCAGTGTCAGGTTCAGAAGAGTCTCCAGGGTAGTCCTCAGTCTCAGGTTGTAAATGTCTCTCTGGATCTGAGTTCCTGGCTGGTTCTGGTCCTCCACAGTCCTCTCCATCAGCTTCTGTTTCCAGGTGTTCAGTTTGTCTTTGATGAAGCTGAGAGGACTGAGGTTTTTCTTCATCATCTTCACTCTTCACAGGGACAGGAGTGAATGTGGACTTGGTGATATCAGCCTCCTCCAGCCCTTGAAGCTGCTCTCCCTCCTGACTGCTCCAGAGTTCCTCCTGTTCCTCTTTAATGTGTGGGGGGGGCTCTGGGTCCTCCTGGTCCAGACTGGAGCTCCACTCCTGCTGCTCAGGGGGAACCTCTTCTTTAACCACCACCAGCTGCTGGACGTCTGCAGGAAACAGGAAACACATAAGCAGAGAAACTGTAGAGTATAAGAATTTAAAATCTAACCACGAGTAACACTTCATTAACTTTGCAGCCCTTATCCATTCCTTATTTTAAATGCTTGCCTATTGATTTGCTAAGTCCCGCCCACTCTGTGTTTCTGTTGGCTCGATTGTCTGTCAATTACACCTTTTTTCCAGATGCCCTGGAGAGCTTCAGGACAACAGGTGAGTTAGTACTGTAGCTGATCTAAATCATAGTAACAGTGCTTAGTTTGGACAGGGAGAGCGTGGGGGCGAAGTTTCTACTTTTCTGTTTGCAGATATGAGTTTCTACATGTAGGTTTGAGTAATTCATGCTAATGTTAGTTAGCAGGGTTAGCTCTGTATGTACTGGCTGCATGAGATGTTGGTCTGTTTTTAGTGATTGTTTTAGACAGTCGGAGGGGGCTCCTATTAAGGCACTGCTAGCTCTGCCCTTCATTTAACACTTAGACAATAGGCAGGAGTTGTACTGTTGAGGAACCGGTGACCTACGTTTGCATGGCATAACTACACCGTAGTTGTGTATATGATAAGACAATATCACCAAGGGGGGTCCTGTGTGGGTGGCAGCTCATTCCCCAGCAGACACGGTCCTCCAGAATTTTCCTAATCACAGAGTAAATGAGAAGAAAAAAAAATTAATTGATCTAATTGTAGTATGTGACAGACAAGAATAGTCAATTCTAATGTCTAAGACTTAATGTGGAGAAAGAGATGTCCTGTATGGGTTGATTGTGCGTTGATCTGTTGGTAATGCCTCTGGGTTCCGGTGGGCATGTAAACAAATGCATAATGCTGCGCTAGACTTTGTGGCCTGTGTGTGTGTGTGTGTGTGTGTGTGTGTGTGTGTGTGTGTGTGTGTGTGTGTGTGTGTGTGTGTGTGTGTGTGTGTGTGTGTGTGTGTGTCAGAGTTCCCGTTAGCCGGTAAATCCCGTCAATGACCGGTAAAATATGCTGAAGTCCGGCAAATCTAAATCTCTCCGGTCAAAATTTCCGGTCAAAATAATTTCCCTTTAGCGCAATACCGCATCAGTTGCGCCACTTATGTGACAGACAAGAAGAGTACGTGACAGACAAGAATAATCAATTCTAATGTCTAACACTGAATGTGGAGAAAGTGATGTCCTGTATGGGTTGATTGTGCGTTGATCTGTTGGTAATGCCTCGGGGTTCCGGTGGGCATGTAAACAAATGCATAATGCTGCGCTATACTTTGTGGCCTCACCCGGTTGCATAGCGACGCTTATTGTTTAGGTGTCTTTTAATAAGCAGGTAGTCATATCATTAGCTAGAACTAGCTAGATCTGATCAATATGGACATAAACGCGAGTGAAGTCTAATCTGACGGGAGCGAGAGATCAGCTGCTGCTGACGAGTCGACACGCAGCTCTGCATGATCACCTGCAGCGGCGAGCTGAGCAAAACACACACTTCAGGTTAGAATATCACGTAGCTATTTTAATGACCTCTCAAACTACCTAAACTAGTTATAGATATGTTTAGTTTTACTGTCGGGTCACTCATTACTGATCCGCGAGCTGCATGATACTGACGGGCTGTCAGGAGAGGGGGAGAGCGCTCCGTTTATTATTCCCGTGTTATAAGTTACTGTACACTTTTGAATAATGTAGTTAATCTACTATAATTAGTTTGTTTAATATCAAATCATATCAATTTGTTTAAAAGCTAAATAAATAACAAAGAAGACCTTTGACCGGCACTTTTCTCATTTTGTCCGGAAGATTTCAACTTTAACGGACATGTTGACCCGGCAAAGAAATATTGTAACGGGAACTCTGGTGTGTGTGTGTGTGTGTGTGTGTGTGTGTGTGTGTGTGTGTGTGTGTGTGTGTGTGTGTGTGTGTGAGTGTGTGTGTGTGTGTGTGTGTGTGTGTGTGTGTGTTTTGAGGTGAACGAAGCAGCAGCAAAATAGGTCTGTCGAGTGTCTTCAAAGTTAGATCTGTAAGAAAGACCTTAATAAATTCAACGGCCCCCAAAGAAGAGCTCGCCATCCCCCTTATTTCAAAGTGGGTTATTGAACCCGAAGTTTGTTGCTTCGGGCCTGGAAGACTGCAGAGAGTCATCCCCTGTTTTCCTCGACTACGGTCTGGGAGCCGACAGGAAAGTTTGTATAAACTAAAATAGCAGCATCATCTGAAACAACAAACACAGTCTTTGAGAGGAGCTGACAGGCTGCAGGGAGTGGAAGCAGAGCGCTGAACACACACAGGAAATACGGCTCCTATTAAAACAATCAGAGATATTTATTCTTGGAATATATGGCGTGTCTGTCATAAACATTCATGCTTAGATGGAATAAAGTGTTGAGATGTTCTCAAGAGTGGGAGTTTTGAGAATGCTTTTTTTGTTTTTATTTAAACAATTGAGTGATGAGGAAAGAAAACTGTTCCGTGATGATTTCTTTAGGTTTTAGCTTTAGTAATGAAGATTACAGTTTGTGAGGAAACTTTTCCACCAATAATTCCTTTAAGTGTTCCAAACATTTATTCATTAACTGAAATCAGATTACTTGGGTTTTTCAAATATAGCGCGAATTGAATACAGTTACTTGATGTTTTGTATTATTACAACCTAACCATGCTTGTAACACAACTTAGAGAAGGCAGGCCACACACACACACACACACACACACACACACACACACACACACACACACACACACACACACACACACACACACACACACCACACACAACACACACACCACACACACACACACACACACACACACACACACACACACACACACACACACACACACACACACACACACACACAACACACACACACACACACACACACACCACACCACACACACACACACACACACACACACACACACACACAATGAAGGAATCTATTAGTTAGCTGTGAACGTAGTGCAAATAACCAGAATTGTCTTGTGGAGTGAGGGGGTTTATATAATTCTGATAGCAACGAGCAATATTAATTTATCATGTGTTTTGGCAGGCATCGAACCAAAGGAAGAGGGTAGCAGTGTTGCAGGGCCTACCATGGTACATGAGGGAGAATCCTTCAACTATCATGAAGATGTGTGAGGTAAGCGCTGAAATGTCATTCAAGATGATACAAAAACGAGTTCACAATGAACAGGGTTACACTAGTCGTTTCAGGGGTCGTCTGTGTATGCACATATGGCAAAGCATCTCTAAAGCACTTTCGTTGTTGTTTTTTGTTTCTTTTTGCATGAAGCCAACGGATCCTGAAGAGGACGTCATCAAGGGAATGGTGATTGGAATCCTTTCAGTTGTTGAAGATGTGAAGGAACCTCTTCCAGCTTCCTACAACGATGTCGCCCTCGTGATCGAGGAAAGGATAGTCATACGTCACCTTGGTGATGTACCCAATGCTTTTGTGAACCTGATGGGATTGCAGTACATGCTGAACCTTGACTATCCAAAAGACTTGAAATACACCTTTGAGGTGATTCAGCGCCTGTTCATGGGAATTGGGTTCACTCTCTAAAGAATAAATTGCTCAGTTAGAGAGATGGCCTAGGAAGATGTCTCTGCATCTGTCCCAAAGGATGCATTTTAATTTGTTGTCATTTGTCCACTGTTCTAAGAGGAAAATAAATGTATAGCCCCTCTGTGGGTCACACCAGTTTATTTTGTTTTCATTTTCTATTGCTCTATTTTGAGGAAGTGTCTGAGAGACACTAGTGTGTATTTTATGTTGTACAGCAACCATGAACAGAGTGGATATTTCAGTACTGTTCGAATGTTTTAATTTTCTGACTGACAGTTAAGTTTCTCAGTTTCTGGCCGTTTCTCAATGTCGAGTACACATGCTGCAGAGCCACTATTTCAAGTATACTACGTCATAGAGTGGCGCAGAATGCTGGGCATTTAACATGCATTTAAACAGTCTTTCGGCGCCACTCAATGACGTAGTATACTTGAAATAGTGGCTCTGCAGCATGTGTACTCGACATTGAGAAACGGCCAGAGAGATGGCCTAGGAAGATGCCTCTGCATCTGTCCCAAAGGATGCATTTTCATTTTTTTGTCATTTGTCCACTGTTCTAAGACGAAAAGAAATGACTCTGCGGGTCACACCAGTTTATTTTCATTTTCTATTGCTCCATTTTGAGGAAGTGTCTGAGAGACACTAGTGTGCATTTTATGTTGTACAGCAACCATGAACAGAGTGGATATTTCAGTACTGTTAGAATGTTTTAATTTTCTGACTGACAGTTAAGTTAAGAGAGATACCATTTTCTATGTATGTTTTACTGCATTTTACTGCAGCAACCCTGAACACTTACTCCTCAGAATGAACTCTGTTTAACAAGTCACTCAATTACAGTTTTATCCATGGGACAGTGTCATTTCAGTTTTTGAGCAGCCCAGAGCAAAAACAATGGTGTGTTAGAGGGTGTTTTTTGTTTGGTCTACATGTCCCAAGGAAGGTCTTTATGATATGTTGACATCCATTGACACACTTATTTGAATTAAAAAGCAACACTGAACAGTTAATGAGTGTGTGGGTTGGAGTTCTTCATTTCTTCAGTTATTGATATTGTAATAACAGTCCTGAATGAAATGTCTTTTCAGCTATTTTTTCATGTGTTAATATAGTTTAGACTAAGCTAGTTCTCATGTTGATTTATAGTATAACTTTGTAGCTATTAGTTTGCTTGTCCTGGTAAGCTAACTTGGTACTAGAAGTTGAACAAACAGTTGTACATGTTGAGTCAACTTGAATAACACATTTTTAAGAACTCAATAAAATAAGTTAAACCAACATCTTCTTAAGTTATCCTAACTAATATGTTCTAGTCCAAATAACTTGACACATGAAGTTGTGTCAACAGACTACAAGTTGTATCAACTAATTTATTGAAGTGTAATAGACTTGACACTAAATGTTGAATCAACTTGACACAACTTAACTCAGTCAAAGCAACAAGATGACTTGACTTAGTCAAGTTGAGTCAACAAATCATTTTTAACAGTGTATAGTGGTTAAGGAGGGTTTCCTTGTTTTGCTCATTGACTTAGAACTGAAGTAAAGGAGAATAGTGTTTTTTGAAAACTGTCATTCCTCATGTTTTTAAAGATAAATCATCAGTTTTTATGAACTTTGATGTTGAAATGCATCACGGTGGAGAAGGAAGACCTTTTTGGTTTCGAATTTAAGAAGATTTTAAAGATTATGTTTATGTTCTTTTCCTGACTAGAATTTAAAAGCAGGACCTCAACTAGACAAAAGAGATTTTACAATGTAGTTGTACTACTTTTGATGAAGTAAAGAATCTGGGTAAACTACCACCATTAGTTTGTTTTAACATGCATGTTTCAGCATTCCTGACCATATAGACACTCAGCCATTGTATAACCCGTTGGGGGAGAGATTTAAATTGAGTTTTTCTCTAGTAGCTGATTGGCTGTGATTACAGCAGCACTGGATAGTTATGCGCCACCTTTGGGTTGGACTCTGAATCAGTGTGTTGGTGAAATGTTGCTCACTACAGAAACAGAAGAAGTGTGCAAAGAACGCATCTGTGACGACCCCTGCCTTGTTGTCTCCTGTGGTGTGCATGGCCCTTTAATGTTTCTCCTCTGCTTGTGACGCCCTGATTGGGGACACCTGACGCCCTGATTGAGGACACCTGACGGCTGGCGGAGGATTAAGAGGCCTGAGCCAGAGTCTCGATCTCTCTCTCCCGCAGAGGACCTGACCTCGGTGCAGCCACGTCGCCTATGTTCTTTTGCTCTGCCTTTTTGTTTGTCTCCGGACACATTAAGTGTTGTGAAATAAATACCTTTTTTACATATTGTTTGTAGCCTTTATTTAACCAGGTTAAAAAATCCCATTGAGATCAACGATCTCTTTTTCAAGGGAGACCTGCGGTACATTAGTTACACATAAAAACAACAGAAAACAAAAGGACATCACAACATAATTACAGGGGTATACATTAGCAACCTATTTACAGTGACAGGTATCCAATAACATGTCATCCAGCCGTGCTTTAAAACGATGCAAGGGAATCAAAATGCTCAGTTTCAATGTTTTTTGGTTCCAAGCCAGAGGAGCAGCGCACATAAAAGCTTTAGTACCTAAAACAGTCCTAGCACTTGGCACATGTAATAAAAACACATCCTGGGATCTCAGGCAATAGCTACTTGCCACTCTCCGTGAGATCAAAGTAAGTCGGTAGTTTACCCAGCATGGTTTTATAGATGAACATGTACCAATGACTGAGCCTCCGAACAGTAAGTGAAGGCAGACCTGCCTTGGCATACAGGGTACAGTGATGAGTAAGTACTTTACAGTTAGTAACAAATGTCAGAGCACTGTGATAGGCGGCATCTAACCTTTCCAGGCAATGGGCCTTTCCATATTCTGGTCCTTCCCACGCTTTTTGTTATGGCTAAGAGCCAGGCCATGACACATCTCTGAGGAGGTTTTGACATTTTGCTTGAAATGGACATGAACCCTTGTTGTCAAGGCAACAGTGGTGTGAAGAGGGGATTTCTACTTTGCAGAGGACAACGTGTGTCTGCTGATTGTACCACATTGATCCAAGAGTTTCCTTCCCTCCAGACATCCCAATGCCACAAGAGTTTCCTTGAGCCCACTGACCAGGGCCGTTTCTAGCTTTTTGGGGACCCTGCCACTGACTACAGCTGCAGAGGACAACGAATCACTGACTGTTCTCATTATGACAAGATCTTGAGACAGGCTTGTCTCAGACTGGTCAGGCCCTGAAGAAATTATGCAATGATTTTACAGCATAACTGTGCAAGAGTTTTCCAGAGGGTGGTGTAGGACATTATATCTCGTGTATTCTTACCCCTCACTGTTTATTCATCATTCAACTCATTCTATATTTTATTCTGTAGATTGTGTACATTACTTTTCACTTGACTGCTTGTGGCACTCCTGGTTAGAAGCTAAACTGCATTTCGTTGTCTCAGTACCTGTAATCTGTGCCATAACAATAAAGTTGAATCTAATCTTGAGCAGGAACAAATGTATTTACTTAGTACATATCTGACATTAACGATTAAACACATTTGTGCATTCTTTATAAATGCAAACTGGTCAAGACCACTGACGGAAGTAGTTTTGAAAAGTAATAAGTGGTTCTGTCTTTGTAATGTAGGATTCAACCCCCCTTGTATTGATTTGTTTTAAAATGAACAGACACTTGAGTCATTCATTTGTAGTGATATAATAATTATGGGATTTCTATTGCATCCACTTCATCTGCAACGAAGAACGCCAACGCAATTTCCGCCATTGCAAACAGAGTCAAGCCGACTCCGACCTGTCCGACTTCAGGCGAGCTTTTTGAGACCTCCCCCGGCTGCAATCGGCTATTCTCGTCAACTTTCGAGGCGAGACGCAGCTCATCTCAAACAAGCCTAATGTTTTTTTTTTATGATTGGCCGACGTGACGTGACCAGTATGCGTGCGCAGCCAGAGAGTTGATTGAAGTGCACCTTCCTACCAGACATGAATGCAGCCGCTGCGTTATGGGTGGGCCTACTGGGCCTAGGCCCACCCACTCTGTCACTGGGCCCACCCATTCATTGATCAAAAATGACTGGGCGAAAATATAGTTTCCACATTTTTTATTTTTTATTATCAAAACTAACGATTACATAATAAAATAAGAGCAAACATGTGTTTCCCTTTAAAAAAACATGGAAAATTAAAAGCAACATGAATTAATGTAATCAGGCAACGTAAAATGTGAATTTGGACCGAACTCATAGTGGAAGCGCGGGAGCAAACACATCGTAGAACGTCTCGCGGGCGCGCGCAGATGAAGGAGGACAGTGGACTGGACAGACACAAAAAATATACCGCACTCACTAACGATGTTCCGGTTTTCATTTGAAAGAGTAAGAAGAGTCATCCTCACAGCAGGTGCCACCTTAGAGAGACGAGAGTGTGTTTAATGTTGTGCCCCGCTGAGCTCAGTCCCTCTGCGGGACGTAGCACCCGTTGCAGGATAACAGAAAATAGCATCCCAGTGCCGGACCTCTCAGCCATAGATGACCCGGCGGCTACACAGCCACATCTCTACCCTCAGACACTTTTCGGACAAAAGAAAAGGAGCTCTGCTGTCCACTGGTATGACAAGTACACATTCTTGGAGTATAGCATTAGCAAGGACAGTGTGTTTTGTAAAATGTGCCGGCATTTTAGTGAGAGAGGCGGGGCCGGCGGAGAAGATACATTCAGTCGCCATGGTTACAGGGACTGGAAACATATCGACTATGCTCTCAGTAAACACGAATGCAGCGCAGCTCATGCAATAGCTATGGAGAGAAATACAAACTACTGACAGTGCGTGAAATCTGACCATAGAACCATCCTCCATCAGCTACTCAACCCAGAGGGCCGACAGGGAGAGATCATTGAGAAAAATCGGGAACACGTAACGTTTTACCGGACATAATTCTCACGTGTGCAAAGCAAGAGATTCCTCATTTCATATTGAGACTAAATATCTAGGAAAATGATTAAGAAACGTCGAGCTAAAATGTCATGCCATTTGCAACTACCAGAGCGCACCCTGACGCGGCAGGCATTCTCCAGCCCAAATCAGCAAAGCTTATGAGTGTGAAGCAACAGTATCTGCTGCCCAGCTGCTTTAGTATGAAACGTATACTTCAGCTAATGAAAGCTCTGCAGTATCAGAAGGAAGTAGCCTAATGATAAATCTGCAGCCTCTGAAAAGTGCCGCGTCAGAGAACCAGTGCCTTTTACGCACGGCCGCTCACTTCGCTAGATCCGCTAAAGGACAGCAGGCTGCGGTCTAACCACACAGACACACATCAGGTGTTCGCTCATTATTCCATATTCTGCCGTTGTATGCTCTTTGTTTCTAAACGTATCAATGTATTGTGAACCAAAACTAAATAACATGCAGTATAACATTTATTTTCACTCATTGCGGCGTGCCGCTTAATCATTTAAATAATATTTAAGCTTCTCATAAGTGAAAATGTTTAAAAGAGAAGGGTTTTGAAAAAGTGTCTTTACTATAGGAAATATGCATTACACAGTTGCCTACAATGATATGCAGGCATTTATATTACATTTTTGTTAACGAGAAACATCTATTAGAACAGGCCCAGCCGAAATACATTGGCCCACCCACAATTGAAATCCTGGCGCCGCGGCTGCATGAATGTCTACGTCTCCGGTATAACAATAAACGTTGAATATAGCACGTCGTAGTCTGGAGTATTGATTGTAAATACAGTACGAGAACAAAACACCCAATACTCACAATTATCAGTTATTAAAGTAAATTAAACCTGATACTCACGTTTATCAGTTACTCCTCACGTGCTGCTTTCTCTCTGAGACCGGACCGACATTTTCTTTGTTTCCTCGTTACTGGCGCGCTTGCATCCTGGGATACGGTGGACTGCGAGGAAGAGGACTCTTCGGGAAAAGAAGAAGGCCGCATTTCAACCCGCCCCTCCCCCCTCTCTTCTGTCTGTCCGCAGAATCAGAAGTCCTTTATTGGTCCCACAGAGGGACATTAACATGGTTACAGCAAGAGTGGAGATAGATGCTGTTCCCAGACCGTAGCGGAGGAATACAGGGGAGGACTCTCTGCAGTCTTCCCGGACTGAAGCACCAGGCTTCGGCTTCAATAACCCACTCTGAAATGAGGCAGACAGGCAGGCTGTTCCTTGGGAGGCCGCTGTGTTTCCTCAGGACTTTGTTATACAGCTAACTGGAGACAGACTGATCACTGCTGCTACTCCCGCGCACACACTACGCTCGCTCACTCTCGCTCTACACATGCACGCGCCACATGCACATCTGTAATAGTCGGGACAATCTGTAATAGTCGGGACAATCTATAGACCACCGGAACAGAGTGACTTTTATGATACATTAGATGGGTGTTTGGCTGATGTGGGGGATGTAGAGACAATTATTATTGGAGACTGGAACACGGATATGCAACGTAAAGACACGTCCGTCTTCAAGTCCTTCAGTAGGATTTGTGATCTGCACGGCTTCAGCCAGCTAATCACCCAACCCACCCGGGTATGTGAAACAACACAAACTACCATTGATCTCATTCTGACCTCTGACAGGTCCAGGATCTCCAGTAAAGGGGTTATAGCATGCGGTTTAAGTGATCATTATATGATATTCTGTACCCGCAAAAAGCTAAAACAAAAGGCCGGCTGTCACAAAACAGTCATATCTAGAGACCTCAAAAACTACTCTAGCGAGGCCTTTAACCTAGAACTGGAGAGCCTGGACTGGTCAGATGAGCTCAGTGGTACACAAGTTGAAGAAACATGGCTTGGTTTCAAAAACAAATTCTCTGCAATACTCAATGATTTGGCCCCCCTAAGAACAACCAGGGTAAAAAATCGCGCTGAGCCGTGGATGCACTCCGGCATACTGACCGCCATGAAAACCAGAGACAAAAAATGCTCTGAGTTTCATAAAAGTCAGTCAATGCTTTCCAAAAGCACGAGCAGTGAACTCCAGGCCCACGTGACTGAACTAAAAATTGAAAGAAACAGACTAAGAAATGACGTAAGCTCCATGATCAAAACTGCCAAAAAGAATTTCATCAATGACAAAACTGAGGAAAACAAAAATAAACCCCGTGAACTTTGGAAATTACTCAATAACCAGCTTGGCTGCAGTAAAAAACTCAAAACGAGATTTTCAAACGTAAACATAAAGACAGATAACAGGCTCATCACAGACAAACTGGATGTGGCAAAGTACTTGAACATTTTTTTCACAAACATAGCCACAACTCTTGTAAATAAATTACCCTCCCACTCAGGGCTTTTTGGAGTAGATCACATCATGACCTACTACAAAAACCTAGGGGTACGCAAAGATGATTTCAGTCTAGCAAGGGTAACAACAGCAGAGGTACTCATTAAACTGAGCGCCCTCAAACCTAACAAGGCCACTGGCCACGACAATATCCCCTCCAAATTCCTCAGAGACACAGCAACCGCCATCTCACCAGTCATAGCTCACATAATTAACCTCTCCATAAAACAGGGAAAAGTACCCAAAGACTTCAAAATTGCAAGAGTAACCCCCCTGCACAAAAAGGGCAGCAAATTGGACCCAGGCAACTACCGCCCTGTTTCTATACTTACCTCCATCTCGAAAGTCATGGAAAAAATAGTATATGAACAGGTCGAAAAGTACCTCGCAGAAAAGAAACTAATCTATGAATTTCAATCTGGCTTTAGAACATCCCACTCCACTGACACATGCCTTCTTTATTTGAACGACCACATCAAACAAGAGGTGGACGAGGGTAAATACTGCGGCATGGTGATGCTGGACCTACAAAAGGCTTTCGACACTGTCAATCACCCCATTCTGATTGACAAGCTAAAAGCAATTGGTTTTGATAAACTATCGGTGAGCTGGATGCAATCCTACCTGGAGGGGAGAGAACAGATGGTGGAGGTAAACGGTACTCTGTCCCCCCCCCTCCCAGTGAGCTGTGGTGTTCCACAAGGAAGCATATTAGGTCCGTTACTGTTCCTAATTTATGCAAATGACATGTCATCAGCATGTGACTGCAACTTGTTCCTGTTCGCGGACGACTCAGCCCTGCTGGTCTCTGACAGGAGCAGATTGCAGGTTGAAAAAACCCTCAGCTCCGAGCTCGGCAGAATCTGCACCTGGCTCGCCGATAATAAATTATCATTACACCTGGGTAAAACAGAGTCCATTCTCTTCGGTTCGAAACATAATCTCAGCAAATCCGACGACTTCTCAGTTGCAGTGGGTGACATTATTGTCACAAGTAAGAAGGAAATTACATACCTAGGATCTATTCTTGAGGCAAACCTCTCCTGTGACAAAATGGCATCCAATGTAATAAAAAAAGTCAATCAAAGAACTAGATTCCTATACCGGATCTCCTCTCTGGTAAACAAAAACACCCTGAAAACTCTGGCAGGAGCACTCATTCAAGGGTACTATGACTATGCTTGCACGTCATGGTACCATAGCACCTCCAAGGCGCTAAAAATAAAACTTCAAACATCGCAAAATAAACTGGTCAGACTACTGCTTGACCTTTCATCTAGAACCCACCTCACCTCTGCCCACTTTGACAACCTAGGATGGCTTAGAGTAGACGACAGAGTACAGCTACTTGCAATGGGCCTGGTCTACAAGATCCACTACACCTCTATGGTACCCATGTACATGTCAAAATTCTTCCCAAAGGTCAAGGAATACCATGATCATAACACCAGAGGGAGCTCCACAAATCATGTAAAACCCAGATTTGGCACAAAAAAAGGGGAATACACGTTTCGCAATTATGCCACATCAAGGTGGAACGCTCTTCCCACAACTGTAAAGGAAAGTAAAACTATACTTACCTTCAAAACCTCTCTTAAAGAGCACCTTCGGGGGAAAGCATTGCAAAACTGGCCCCGGTAATGGTACAAATCTCAACCTGTCGTACAATGGACAGCTTCCCCCCCCCCATCTATGTATATACTCGCATTTTAGACTCTGTTACTAACTGTATATCTGTAGACTTGGTATGTCTTAAATGTCCGGTTAGGATGTATTAGAACGAAATCTAAAATGAAAATTGTAAATAAGCCATCTGTATGTAAAAAACCACCTGTATGTAAATTGTAAATAAGCCATCTGTATGTCAAATATGTCTTATATGTCTTAAATGATATGATGAATTGGAAATGGGGGACCCTGATGTAAACAAGACGAAAGTCTTTCTCTGGTCTGCATCCCCTTAACAATTGTATGTTTTGAGCTGTACTGTACTGTACCCAATATACAAGCTGTTAATAAACTTTTCAATCAATCAATCAATCATGCACGCGCCACACCTCCCTCTCTCTCTTAAAGGGCCCATGTCATGGCCATTTCCACTGATCATAATTACATTGTTGAGGTACACTAAAATAGATTTATACTGTGCAATTTTCCAAACTCACATTGGTTTCGCATACAGCATCTCTGTAAAGTATGTGTATTCAGCAGTATTCACTCTCTCCACTAAACGACTCGTTGGAGCTCTTGCCCCTCCCTCCCTGTGAGCCTAGTGTGCTCCGATTGGTCAGCTCGGCCACTCTGTTCTGATTAGTCAACCACCAGAGAGGCTCCGCCCATGTCTAACAGTGCTTTTTTCGGCTCGCTCTGAGCGGAACATCAGTCTTATAATGGCGTCGGTACAGCCGTATATTTTATACGCTAACTAACCGAACTGTACCTACAACTGTTGTTATAGAAGAGTAAGTTATTTTTACCTGTAATAAACTACTACTGTTTGATGAGAAATCAAATCATGGTTTGCTATATATGAATGATATGTTATAGGCAACCCAGTCTCACGGCATTTCGTGTTATAGTCACGAAATTAATTTAATCTATTGATTCGTGTTCACCAACACGATTTTCGCATTTTTTCGTGTCACACAGAACGATTTTAAAAGCAATGTATTTCTATTGGTAGTATGTTTCGTGCCTGCAACACGTCTTTTTGTCCGGTCGGGTCTTGGAAGACCAGAGCTGTGTGGTTCATAAACACATTTTCTTACTCAATATCTTACCCTAAGCCTAACCCTATCCCTTTTATTTTAAATTGTATAATGTCGGAGTTTTCTTGCTGTCCGCGAGGAAAATAAATGGCTCAGAGCCTCAGAATACTGAAATCTGTATTTTTTGTCATCTTTTTTTCCTTCTAATTTGTTATTATTTGGTGCAGGCACGAAACACACTACCAATATAAATGCATTGCTTCTAAAAATCGTTCTGTGTCAGAATACTGAAATCTGTATTTTTAAAAATCAGTTTTTCCTTCTAATTTGTTATTATTTACATTGCTTTTAAAAATCGTTCTGTGTGACACGAAAAAAATGGCAAAATCGTGTTGGTGAACACAAATCAATAGATTAATTTTGTGACTATAACATGAAATGCCGTGAGACTGTGTTGGTTATAGGAGCAAATAATTCAGGGAAGAAAGGATAGGCCTACTAAGTATTTCCATCAAACTTTATTTTTAGAAATGTACAAAATGAACATAAATATGCATATATACACGGTATATCATCCATTCCTCCCCGTTGTCGGCATCTTGCCTGGGCGCAGCCGGGGCTTTTTAGGACGAGGCCTCAGTAGTAGTAGTAGTCCCGTCCCCGTCATGTATTGTCTGGCAGGATCTGGCTGGACGAAATCAAATGCAAATCACAAAATATTAGAGAAACTTAGTTGTTTTAGATTCGTTAGTAGTAGTTGTGGTAGGAGTGTGGATCTATCTAATCCATCTATATAATCAACACAGTAATATGCCAGCTAATATGCTAACCTAGCTTTGTTGTTTACCTTAGCAAACACGATATGAACGTTAGCTCGGAGGAACGGCAACTATAATGGAGTGTAATAAAACTACTATGAACAAAAGCTAGTGGTTCATATTAGGCTAGCAATAACGTGTTTATAATTGCAATCTTATACGGGTAGTCTGCTACGTTCGGTCATACAATGTTTCCCGCTAGCATGTATAGCTAGCCTCGTTAGCTATACATGCTATCAGCGTCGGAGGAAAGCCAACTGTAATGTACCGTCCTTTGGGGGTCTGTGAGCGGGCAAAGAGATGGGATTTCCCCGTTGTCTCTGCTGGAAGTGTGAAATAAACTTAGTTGTTTGATGTTCGTCAGCTTGCCAGCTGGATTACAATGCTAATCTACGTTTGCTAGTTGTTCAGTTGTTCAATATG